ATACGCAATCACAGTCGTTAACGCTACTAGAGTTAGTGGCTTATGTCGACATGGCTTAAAGTAATATGGTATTTAGTGTGTGACGAAGAAATGGCGTTACTGTGACAGATGTTATCAGACTGTCACGGGGCTTATAAATTAACAACGTTAAAGTAAAATCTTTGCACAAATTTAAATTTATCTGCCTTAATAAAATAGGCAATTGAAATTATTAAAAGAAGATACTTCGTATATAAATATATTGTAGGCAAATAGGCAATAGCAACGTGGTGTTATAATACAGCAAAAGTGTCAACTAATTTGATTAATAACATTAAATTAACAAAATACCTTTGATTTGAGAAACGACGTTCGTAGCGACGTGCGTAGCGAACCTCTACGTGTAGACCCTTTGTTCTACGAAGTATGTTTTAATAACCTATCTAAACTCCAAATAAATGTTACATGATTTAATATCGCCTGTAGCCGTTTAATTTGGCAATTAGAACTAATTTACATTTCAAACTTATATGAGGATATTTTTGACGTGACAACGTCTTATAATTCGATGGAGCCGGCTGCACGCACGAAAAAACATGACTCATGCGGCGTTACCTCACTGTGAGGCGTTCCATTTAAAATTGACATAATTGTATTTATAATAATAATAATAATAAATTTTTATTAATCAGACAAATACAGTCCATTGATTGATTAGTGAGTTAGTAACAATAGTTTCTTAAGATCTATGTTAGAGAATTAGTAAAAATAAGGAAAAAGTAGTTAAATAAAAACTATCAGGTACAAAGCCCTGCGGAGATGTCGGAGCAGTGTCGTAAATAGGGGCACTCCATTCTTTCGACTATCATCCGTAAGATGTTGCTGGAGCTTATTTATGCGTACAAATAAATGTAACTTGATCAATTCAATTGTGATTTCCATTTACCATCTTCTCTATATCCATACAAAATACCTATCAAACAAACAAAATTAAAATTTTCTTTTGAAAAATGCAACCATTCCATCAATATTTTCTTATGACGCTGTCACGTTCAACTATCGTCAGTGTCAGTGACTTTACGGACAACCGATTTTTTACTTTTAATTTTCGTTTCATTAATAGATTGTTTATCCGTATGACCCACGTTAGATATTTTTAAGCGTGACGTGGCTAATATGTTTTTTTTGGTATAAACTTCCCACTTTCATTCAGGAGATTTTTTAAGAAAACGTGACATTGGATTAATAGTCGGTATACGTCTTCATAGTGCTCAATGAAGATTGTAATGACGTAATGACATGTGTATGATTCAATTTATAAAGTAGACTATTTATTCTATATTAAAACTTCTATTTATATAATTATATGTTTGTGTATAAGTAGGATCCATTACCAATTGAATATAAAGTGAGACTGCAATACATTAAGATGTCTCGGCTGATAGAAAACAACTCTATTCAGCTATATTCTTCGCCCACTCGCATTAGTATGACGTCACGCGTAAATGAGCGTCTAACTTCAAATTTCGGCGAAAGTGTATTAATATTTTCTATTTCCGTGACTTTTTAAACAAGGTTTATAAGAATTTGTTGTTGTGATATGATCTTTCAAACATTGCAAAACAGTATTAAGTATAGAAACAGTGGTATAAAAATAATAAAAAGAAAATTAAAACAAATTTAAAAAGTTTGATTTGGGTTTGGTTTAACGTAGGCATTTCATCGCTGTGTTGCGATACTTATTCGTTGAGCGAGGAAAGCACCAGCTCGGGTCACTGTTACTATCTACCAGGCGCCAACTTAAATCTTTAATCAGCGCCTGTGCACTTGATAGCCAAGGCCCAAGAGTCTCTACTTCAAAGGGATCAAAATCGAAGTTGATCTCTTATATTTGAGGCGTTAATTATTTTTCGCCTGCTCTGAGGCCGCGTCCAGCTTTTTTGCACGTCCGAGGGAGGCGAGACGGGGCTAACATGTCTACACAAGTAGCATTCCAAACATAATCATAACAAAGCATTTCAATGTGAACATGTTTATAAAAATATTTAATAATGTGTCGAAAGAATAAAATAATGTAAGAAATTCGACATGATATCAGTAGCAACGTTGTATCTGTATTTTAAGCTTACGGCTGATGGAGTTCCAAGGCCTGCCCTGCGATTCTGTAACTCACTTTTCGAATTCACACAGCGGTTTTCGCATCGGCGGTCGCTCTCAAATCAGTCGTGAAGCACTCATTTTATGATTTGGCGTTCTGAAAAGGTGGGAGCTTGTAGTTTATTGTTTATGTAACAATATTGCTGCATTTTAAAACGTATTTCAACTTATAATCTTTAATTGGTATTTAATTTATTGTCAAATATGTTTTTATAAAGAAAAAGTTTTAATAGGTTGTTAAGTACCGAAAATTGAAATATAAAGGTAAATAAACACACACATATAAGGAAAAAACGAGTAAAGATCCCCCAGCCTATGCAGAAGGCTCTATAGTGACCTGACCTTGATTTTTCTTTGTAACATTCATGGAAATCAAGTTTTATGTTGCGGCCATAACTTAATTACTCTACGGTTATAATATAAGCGTGAAATTATTATAGTTTGTGTGGGCGCTCTTATAAATTTTCTTTTATTTCCCTCATAAAACCCGTCATATCTTTATTAAACAATTCTCTAGGCTGTAATCGTTTACGTAGAATTAACTTGATATAATTTTGTGTCGCAAAATATGTTTTATCTTTTATATTAAGGAAAATGTTCACATCTAAAACTATAAAACATTTAATAATATATTTGAAATTTAAGTGAGGCAACATTTCATTGAAGAAATAACTTTGAACTTTGTGACGCGATATTCACAAGTGAATGGTAACCAAATATTACGCTTTTAAGCTTTGACATAGGTTATGTGAGAACTATGTTCATCGTTAACTAAACCCTAGAGCCTGTATTACATCATATTATTCAATAATACGTGTGTTTATTCTAGACGTTTGGTTTTAGTCATCTAAATAGCGAAATAATTTTTTGTACAAAATTATGTGACAAAAATTCAATAATTCAATTTGCGATATAAAGTTTTATTCGTTAGTTAAGATCAAACCAAAATAGTTTAGTTATAGAACAACTAATAAGCTTTTTTTTTCTAAAAAATATTTTATAAAACATGTTATTAATAATAATATAAAGAACAATAAATATATTTAAATATCAACACAGATATCAACCTCTTTAGTCGTTTATAGTAATTACTAATAAAAAAAGAAAAACTTGATATGCGATGCTTTTTTGTTATTTTCATTCGTGTTAGCAGAGGCTTAGTAGGCATTCATAAATGACGTGAATTTGTTGTAATGCATTGCATTCAACTATTTTAAATGTATCGGATAAACATGTTTCTATAATTTACATTTAATCGTAGTATAATTAAACACAGGTGCTTCTCTATATATATAAATAATAATTGTTTTATTTTTATTACATTGTCGCTTCACTGAGACAACATGGAACATTACGATCGAGCCTACTTTAAGATTAATAACTAATTGAAGTCTTACCTAATTTACTAATAAAGATATTTATGACGTCTAAGTTTGACGTCACGCGCAAATGAGCGTCTTATTTAAAATTTCGGGGAAATTGTATTAATATTTTCTATTTCAGTAACTTTTTTAACAAGTTTTGTAAGAATTTGTTGTTGTGATATGCTTTCAAACATTGTAAGACAGAATTACATCAAAGCATTTCAATGTGAATTTAATTTACGATATAAAGTTTTATTGGAAAGTTAAGCTTCAAGTCTAGTTTTGTTATAGAATAACTAATAAGTTTTTTGTTCTGATAAACATTTTGTACAAAAAATATTATTATAAATTATTTTGTTTTTAAACCTATTGAAATACTGTCATTAATACGAACAAATATAATATAAACAACAATAAATATCTTTAAATATCAAGACATATATCAACCTCTTTGGTCGTTTATAGTTATTACTAATAAAAAAATAAAAAACTTTATATGCGATGCTCTTTGTTATTCTCATTAGTATAATTAAAGACCGGTGCTTCTCTATATATATATAAATAATAATTGTTTTATTTTTATTACATTGTCGCTTCACTGAGACACCATGGAACATTACGATCTAGCCTACCTTAAAATTAATAACTAATTTAAGTGTTACCTAATTTACTAATAAAGATATTTATTATGACGTCTATGTATGACGTCACGCGCAAATGAGCGACAACTTAAAATTTCGGGGAAATTGTATTAATATTTTCTATTTTCGTAACTTTTTTAACAAGTTTTGTAAGAATTTGTTGTTGTGATATGATCTTTCAAACATTGCAAGACAGAATTACATCAAAGCATTTCAATGTGAATTCAATTTATGATGTACCTAGTTTTATTGGAAGGTTACCCTTCAAACCTAGTTTAATTACAAACATTTAAGAATTGTATTCAAGAAAAGCTGTGTAAAAAGGCTTGCTTTAAAGTTAACGATTATCAATTTGTTTTAAAATAAGCAAATCATCAATTGCTATTTTAAAAGATTACCGAGAGTTTTTACGCCGGCTTTTTCTCTCGGCCTACACCCTCTGTCTTCTTTGACGATGAGTAGGGATGTGTACCGATTCAAATTTAATGACGTGGAATAAGTGATACCTGTATCTTATATTCCATAATTAACCTATCTTATTTTTATAGAATAACTAATAAGTATTCATTTGTTCTGATAAAAATTTTGTACAAAAATATTAGTTATTTTATATTAAAATAATGTCTGTAATAGAAGCAATTATAATATAAACAACTATAAATATCAACACATATAGCACTATGTGGTGATGTTTATTATTATCATTCGTGTTAGCAGAGGCTAAGTAGTCATTCATAAATAAAGTGCATTAAGTGTTGTAATTTTGCGTTAATTTACTAATCATGTTTATGTGTATGTGTAATCTCTTTTAAAAGGACTTTAAATAATAGTTAATATTATTGTGTTTAGATACATAAAAATGGCGGCGGGAGATGTCACCCGGCGCGCCTCGATCACAGCGCCATCTATGCATCGGCGACCGTCAGCGCGTAGAGGTTCGCTTATTAAGAACCCACAATCACCATCACAGGTAATTTAAGAAATTATTAATGCTTAAAGGTTATATTCCGAAATACCATTGCCACATGTCTAGACAGATTATTATCTTATCTAGCATTGAAACGTTTGATGTTAACACAAAAGCCTTATTTTAAATGAATACTCAAGCCTATTATTAAAATATTCTATAAACCCCAAAATGGTCTATTTAAAAGTTAATTATTTATTATTCGGGTAACGCGAACCTTTTCTTGGGTGTTAAAACACCGGATTTAGAAAGAAAATATAAAATTATCCCTATTATAGGAAGAAGCCTAAAAATTTACTTTATTAATAAAAAAAACCATTAACTTCTCTGTAATTTCTATTATAATGTAATTTCAAGCGCAATTTATATCTGATGGTTTTAATGCCATTAGAACCAATGGTATCCTAAATGAATTGAACACAAAGAACATCCATTATATACGAGTGTTTTGTTTTTTTTTATTAACCAATACTAAGATAGCTACTTACTTTACATATGGATATAATTTTAAATAAATAAACAAGGATATATATAAAAAAAATTATTTACATATATCACTGTAAAATCGTTACTACCGGAAGATCAGCTCGCACAGGCAGAAACACACACAATGTGTTATTATTTTTATCGTTTTCCATTGACATTGATTGATCTGACATCGGGTTTTCCGAAGTCCAATTGCAAATTTAAAGCCATTTGCTTTAAGTACATTCTTTTAAAAATAGGATTGTTATGTCTCTTTTCATTAGTGCGAACGCAAATTGACGAATTGAGGCGATTACGTACCCACATTTATCGATGTCACAGACAGAATTTCTTTTTATAAATAAATGGTCTTATCAGTCTAGCAAATTAAAACTTTTGATTTCTAGACACTCACAAACATAACTCATCTTCTACTACATAAACATTATAAGATTAATAGTAAAATTTCTGAAAATACTACACCTAATTCCTTGTACTTATCACACATAACATTTTTTTTTTTTTAATTCATTCTCATAACATTGAGTACAACTTGCTACATTGATTAGTAATATGTTAAAAATGTCTTTCGCTGGTAAAATTGTCGTTGGTACATAGGTGATATTTTAATTATTTTTAATTTATTAGTTCTTTTAATACCAATACCTTTTTTTCTGAAAAGTTTACTTACTTACATAGCTCAGAGCTTAAATAACAAATTTAATATTTTAGACATAGACATAACATTTATTACATACGAAAACACACACACATAAACACACAAAATAACAATACTCAAAGAAAAAAATAACATAAGACATCAAAAACAATAAAAATTAAAATAAAAAAAAAATAAAAAAAATTTTTTTTACATTAATTATAATATATTTTATGATGATGAGATAAAAGGTTATATAGGAACCCTCATTTTCTGTTTTAAATTAGTAAATTACACCCATCAATGTATGATAGATATAGTGTATACCGTCCACTATACGTAAAGTACTATACATCTAGTATTCTGTATGCCAAAAACAGCATCATCGACATACCAGAGCCATAGTTCGCGCTAATTATTATTAGTTCTTATTAGTATTAGTTTTGTAAATTTCAGCGAACTTCACATATAAAACTACAAAATCCTTGGAATTGAATATTATTTGTTCGCATTATATACATCGGAACTCGTATTCCTGGTTATGTAATCACAGTAAAATTTAATAGCAATAAAATTTTTACTATTTCTATAAAATGTTATAGTTTCCGTTATTACTCGTGTGGCTTGCCATTTCAATATAAGTGTTAAAAGACGATAAATTTTCTCATCTGAATATCGATGCATGACCTTTAAATTTATGAATTCTAGAATCATAGCTATTTTCCTTGATCTGTTATTATTTTACTTATCTTAAAAAAAATCAAATTAAAATCATTTATTCATAAAGGTAACACAGTGTACACTTATTAACGTCAAAAAGAAATATACATTAAATGCTTCTAATTTTACATTTACTGATCAACAAATCAAGGGCGTAGAATGGAAGAGAAGGACTGGCAATAAACTCTTCGCCACTCTTTTTAATCGCCAAGTTTTTTGTTTTACAAAATGTTTATAATGAGCTGCAACCATTACACCATGTTAGCTATATAATATTATTTTAGTATAATATTTTAGTTGTAATAAAAAATGGTCATACCAGATTATATACATTTTAAAGAAAAACTTTTTAACCGGATTAAAGTTATGTATTATTATAAATTTACAATTATTTAACATAATTTTTTTCTTTTGTCTTCAGTCACCGTAACCACGCACGCTGTAAAGCACGCGAAACGTCGGATAAATTTAAATGTGTAAAGGTTATGTTAATCAAAGACATATACATTTCTATATACATTTTTTAAACTTTTTTTTTTCTGCGGGTATTTGCAATCAGCCCTAAGGCTATGAGCGAATCAGTTCTGTGGTGCTGTCATGTGGAGTGGCTTCCAATTGGAAGCATCTACTCTTCTTCTGCCTAGAGCTACTGCCTGTCTTCTAGGTCTAGAATGTGGAGACGTTTTAGTCGTTTTATATACTGTTTTATGGTGAGTTGGCGAACAAGTTCGTTCGGGTGACAGGTTAACCGCTCTTTGTATTTAGCTGCCAGTCTCCGGATTTCCTCTTTGATAGTTCTCATTTTAAGGTGTTCGTGAACTTCATTGTTCGTTATGTACCATGGTACTATTGCAATTGCTCTTAGGATTATTATTATTCTGTTGTCGCTGGAGTATATTTATGTTGGTACGAGATCACTTGTGCGCCCCACAGTTGGAACCCATATGCCAAAATGGGCTTTATGATACATGGAGTTTATTCTCAAGAGAAAGTCTCGAGTTTCTTCCTAGCATCCAATTTTTTAAACTAAACAAATATTAAGTTACTTCTATTGGATTGGGATCTAGTTATTCCCTAACTGAACATAATGTCTTGCATGAAGGCAGCAAGGCGAGTAATAGTAGTTATCAGAACTTTGCCCTCACTTACTCTTCTCATTCCGTGACCAAAAATTTGTCTTAGCCGCAACGAGAATCTTTCACAGCCCCGGCAAAGAACAGTTGCCACGTTCAGGCAGTTACTAGTTTTCAGTACTTCACAGCGAGAATAAAATCGGGTTATCCATTAAAAAAATTTTATAAATGAAAAAGCTTAATTTAATAGACCGCTACTATTATTGATGAAATAAACTTTTGAATGAAGTTTCAACCTAAACCTTGACCTCTTCGACGGTAATCACAATGAAGGGGCATGTTTTCCAAAATAAATCTCTGTCCTGGTATAAGCTTGGGATAATCCGACCCTCTTCCGATTGTTTAATCCGACTAAAAGATTAAAGGTAAAGATAATTTGAGTTTCAAGATACTTTGAATTAGGTATTGTAAGTCTCTAATTATTTTCTGAGCGTTTAGAAAATGCCCCGAGGAAGGTGACCGTTCTTCTAATTGGGCTAGTTAGTAGTTAGTATTCTCAAAAAAATTGTATAAATAGGTTTAGGTTTAGGTTTAAAGACTTTATTTCTCAAAAAAGACAACAAATGTCACTTACATGAGAATAATACTCTAGATAACATAACATTGTAGTCGTTCTTAAAATAATCACAATAAAATATAGCCGTATATGCAATAAATTTAAAAAATAAAAGTAAACAAAGAAATATGAATTAAAAGTAAGTAATAAGTAAGTAATAAGAAATGAATTTAAAAGTAATTTTGTTTAACATATTCACTTAGCTTCGATTTGAATGAATTGATAGAAGTAATATTTTTTATATCTGTGGGTAGTTTATTATACAGCTGTGCGCCTTCGTAGGTAAACATTTTTTTGCCGTAGTTCGTACGTACTTTAGGTAATGCAAGATAACTCGTTCGACGCATACTTCGTACACGTGGCGGTTTGGAGAATGCTAAACTAGTATGGAGAGAACTTGTTATAAATTTTTTTACAAGAATACATGTGTGATAAATATAAAGTTGTTTTAGATTCATTATGTTTGTGTCTCGATATATATTTATGGTAGGTGCAAGATAATTATAGTGGAACAGTATTTTTATAATTTTATTTTGTAATACTTGAATATTTATTAATTTAGTTTTAGCGGCGCTGCCCCATACTTCAATTAAATAAAGTAGATGTGGCTTGACCAACGAGTTGTAGATGATGTATAAATCTACATGAAAATTAAAGTACACGTTTGATTTATAACTTAGACACAATATGATTTTTTATTGAATATATTTAGTATTAGTTTAACTTAAAAAAAAGGAAATCATAAAAGTATGTGTATATTATGTTTGTATATTAAAACTCGTTTATTCAAGGTTTTTCACATGTTTTGACAGTTCATTTGTCATAGTGATAATGACGGCTGCTACCATATTTTCAATACATACGTACGTGCCTATTGCTGTACAATATGTATTATTTTACTTGACTTCATTTTTAATTTAAACTTTCACATCTGCAGGTATATAACAGTAATTTGTTCCCAAACTGTAGGTAAAATAATTTAGGATATTTTAAGTATAATATTTTTAAGTGAAATATTATAAAAAAATCTTCTATGAAATGTATACAAAATTAGTCCTTTGTTCATTAATCTAAAACTAAATCATACTGTTTTACTTAAGTACACATTCGTACAAATTGTGTTTATAGCGACTTAAGTTCGGTGGCTTTTGTTGTCGTAGTAGTGTGTATGTTCAAATGTATGTTAAATGAAACCCTTTGTGTCAACTGGCTTTAATCGTTTTAAACATGAGCTTATAACATAAAATTTGGGTTAGTGGGGTTGCGACAGTGGATTAACAAAAAATTAACTTGACTTATTTAAGGGTTCTTAAATATAAGTGGCAGTTCTGTTACCTATAAACATTGATATACAAAAAACCCAAGATGCACAGTCTCTAATAAAAGTAACGCTCGAAAGTGTCCCGAAACACTATTTCTGTCCATAACAGTATATGTTACAAGCATATATTATTGCAAAATCAACCTTACGCGAATTGCTTAAAGTTGTTATTACAACGCAGTGTATACGTACTTAAAGCAATAAAATTTTACGACCGACCGTGGTCGGTAGGACAAGGTATTGAGTGGAGTCGAACATGACTTTTTTATTTACAACTATTTAACATAATTTTAAATTTATCCGACTTTTCGGGTGCTTTACAGCGTGAGTGGTCACGGTGACTGAAGACAAAAGGTGTTGGATGTTAAATAGTTGTAAATTTATAATAATACATAACTTTAATCCGGTTAAAAAGTTTTTTCTTTAAATTAAAAAAAAATGTTAAATTGGCTACCTCCTGACCCACACTTTATACAGCGTAAATATATTTGTCAAAAACTACACACAAAAAAGTTCAGGAGTACATAAATTTATTTATAAAAAAAACACAAATAAATAACATCGACTCCACTTATAGACGCGAGACTATTTGAAATGAGCGCACAATTTAGAATGTTGCGCTCATTTTTTGAGGACGTCTTTTTGACGTTGAGTGTGCATCTTGGGTTTTTTGTATATCAATGCCTATAAAGAATATAAGTGTAGTCGAGCTATTGGATATAATCGGAAACGAGAATGTTATATTACAATTTATGATTGTGGGAAAAAATAAAGAGCTACTTTGGGCTTCAAGTGTGCTATGATGGCTAACGTTTGGTTTGCGCTTCTAATTATTAACTAAAATTTATATATGTATCTTAACTAAAGTTAAGTTATATAACTAATGTTAGGGGAATATATAAGTCATTGATTCAATTCTAATTATTCTATACGGATAATTTATTTGAGGAAAGATTTGTATGGGTTTGAAAAATATATTAACAATCTGCTCAACAAATTTCAAAAACTTTTTCACTATTAGAATCATTATCCCTGAAAATGGAGCCCTGTAAAGCTAAGACAGGCTGCTAATTTTTATAAATAATATAAGGATATATAAGCTTAAATTTGTAGACGCAATGCTGTTATTGATAGATTAAAAATATTTTTTTCCAGGAAGTGCCTTGGGATATAATAGATAGATGCGCTCTGCCGATCGTTTTATGCCACGCCCTGGCTGTGGTCCTCTCTGCGCTCCTAAACGCTTTACACATCAGCCAAATCTCCGTCTTCACACTTTTCCTCTGGTTTTCCATATCGGTGACTGGATCTCTCTGGTTCTACCATAACTTGCAGGTTAGTAACGAATTTCAGTAACATTTATATAGAGTAAGCGTACTTGTATAAAATCATAACAGAAACAGTTTCACGAACATTGAAATCACAATTAATTTAATATATGGTTAGCTTGTGGTACCGATATTATCTTCACGACCAAGAAGATTGAATCTTTTCCAACAAAGCCGTAATGCAATAAATGGGTGGATCGATTTTGATGAGTGGTTAAGTGAATTCGAGAATAGTTCAGAATATTTAGGATTAGACATTTTTTGTTTGTTTTTGTAAGATTAAAATTTTGTATTTAAGATGTGTGTGTACAGGACAACGTCTGTCGGGTCCGCTTAGTTGTTATGCATTGATGGATAGCTAAGAAAACGGTTATATTTTTAAAATAATCTACAAATCAAGGTTTTTAGAATATAAAAAAAAAAAATATTTTAATCTGTTATTTATGAAGATTTACAGACAGTGTTTAATCGTGTTTAGAAATCAGAAGATGAGATTTCAATTTATACGTGTTTTTCCAAAAAAAAATGTAATTTATTATTTAAATTAATTTCATGTTAACTAAAAATGTCAGTTTTTCATAAAGCATATGGGCGTAAAATTATTGCAAATAGTCACCCCTATTATCTCCTAACGGGAATAGCTTGAATTATCAATAACCCTGTATACAAAACAATATTATACTGAAAACGAAATATAAATTATGTAAGAAATTTAGAGCTGAATAACAATTTTCAATATAACTGTATGTTTCTGAGTCGAAGTCCGTCCCGAGGGCAACACTGAAACCATTCAGATACGGTTTTGAACAATGTATCTATGTTTGCTACCCTTGGTACATCAAAGTTCTTCGGATGCATCTTCTTTGTGTACCCAACATAGGTTTTTTCCTATGAAGGGGTTTTTATAACAATTTATACAACTTCAAATTGCGATCAGTACAATAATGAATAATTATAATATATAATCATATCGAGAGAAATAAGGTGTATGTATGTAATAATACTTTTGATAATTCTTTGTATAATCCCGTGTATGTAACACAAAATAAAGTATAATCTCGATGAAGTCTATAAACACTTTAAATACGCTCACGAAACGTAAAAGTTACAAATACTATTTTATTTCGTAGTTCATTTTTTTTACCGTATTTAATTACTAAAACAGTAATCTGTATTATATTTAAATGTATTAATTATTATTGAACCTTTGTTAATGGTTCGGAAAATAAAAATTATAGTTTGACTATTGTACCACAATAAAATTCACAAAAAAATGATAATAAATAAGTGTTTTATAATTAATATAAATTAATGATGAAGGCTTTTATTTCTTATTCCTTAAAAGAGTTGAAAACCCACTTACATCAATATGTCACGTTTTAGGGCAACTCAAACAAAAGAGGTTTTACCTTGGCAATGTTTTCTTTTTGTGAAACAATTTGTTCTTTGTCTCATTGTAAATCGTACATTTTCTTTTAAAACAATACTTAATTAAAAACTTTGTGCGTCATAAAAACACAAACAATTTGGCTTTTTAAGGACGTACAATTATTAATTGTTTCTTTGTAAGCTATCAATGGAAGCCAATGAAATTTATTTTTAAGTTTGTTAAAGCTTTTACGTAGGCTTTCGCTTATCAGTGTATATACATATATAAATCAGTAAAACGAAAATTCTGATGTTGGTTTTCCAATACAAAAATTAGTTATACAGACAAAATACATACACAAGAATAAAAATAACCTCATAAATATCTTGAATGACGATAATATGGTATGAAAATATTACTCCCACTCATATCTTACTAATTATTATACTTCCGATGCGTATTTAGTTTCCAACTCACGACGTCATCGTTTATGACATAATATATTACTAACCATATACGAACCATAATATACGTATATATACAATAACATTCTTTTAAGCAGGGTAGCTTAAAGTTTAAAATGCTGCAACCTACGTTATGATGTACCGTCTTTTGTGGGATCATTATCTAAATATCAACTACACAGTAAAGTGGGTGTTACAGTACCGTAATTACAATATGACGGTAGACAGCCATCGCTTAGCTACGATAATCCTCTAACAAGTTCACACGTGCCGAATAAGTTTCCTTTGAATGAAGCAGAAATGTTTGATTAGCAGATTCACACTTGATTGTAATATTGTGTTAGACTAATTGCGTAAATGACTGATTGTGGGGGAGGTATGAACTTCCGATAATTGATTGTATGCGATGTTACGGAGTTATGAGATAACCTTTATTTAACGCGGTTTTGAATATCGAATAATTCTTTTAAAATATTTATATAACAAAGGTCATAGAAAAAAGTTGCTCTCGTCAAACGAAGATAGTTTCTCTCAAGGAAGTTTATCTTTGGATAACTAAAGCCTTTTCCATTAGACATTTTAGATGACATCTTTAATTCGAAAATCGAATGATAATTTTCTAAGTTCAGTAAAAGGTAGCTCAAACCTATTTTTGTATCTTTTATAATAATGTGTGTTTGTGCATAAGAAAATATTCATTAAGGTTTTTTCATTTTGCAACTAACGTTGAATTGAAACTAACAAAATATTAACATAATTTCTATCGGAATCCGAGCGAAAGTTTCCACATTTATGTTCGTTGTTCTCTATCTAACCTAGATTTGAACAAAAAACAACTTAACTGGCAAGCGTCCTGAAGGAACACGTAGGCGTTTATAGCCATAGTCCCATATTTATCTAAAAGGTCATGCTCTTACGTGAACAATAGCACGATTTACATAACACAGTTTATGTCGGAGATAAAATTTGCCAAACTATTTGTACAAAATTTCAAAGCTGAGTCACACGTCACCAACTTAAAGGAAAAGTGACTCAAAAGAAGCAAATCACGATTCATGACTCATTTTATTTATGTGATTTTACTCTACGTGGGAAGCCCTCTGCATCACAAATAAAAAGATTGAAATAACGCTGTAATTCTTGGTCTTGTCCTCAGCTTTTCGCTGCGATTCCGTTAATTATTTGTCCTCTATAGAAAAGTAGATCTATTAAGATAAGTAGACCACTGAGTTTGTATCTAAATATTGTAATCACGCCGCGTTTAATGATATCATATGTCACTCTCTAGCCTCCGTCGATATTCCAGCCATATTGGAGCCAACAGGCTTCAGTAGGGACGATGGCAAGCGGATGTTGTGTCTTTAATACATTGGATAATGGGACAAGCATTGATATGGGATGCTACTTGTGTTGAGACGTTAGCCTCGTCTTACCTACCTAGAACAAGCACTAAAGATGGTGTGGTTGCAGAGCAGGAAAATAAGAACGGCTAAAAAGAGTCTTTCCTCCAACTTTGATTTAGTTCCCTTTTGAGTAGAGTTCATATAAAGAACATAATGTACACTTCTGAATGTCAATTCAGAAAGACATTCCTAGAATTCTTTAACCATACCAGCGCACAAAAAGGAACATCTATCAGTGCACAGCCGTGATTCGAATGCACAAATTCAGGTTTGAGAAGGGCGTGCCTTGCCACTGCTCTCAGTGTGTCTTTAAATTTGTAATGCAATCTCCTGACGTACCTGACATGATAAGTTAAGATTTCTTAAGGAAAATCGCCGCGACAAAATGAATGGACGGAATAATGTTGAACTATGTTGGGTCCATTATGAATGGGCCAGTAAAACAAGTTAATAGCAAGGGGCCGTACTACTAGTTTATATTTTTATTCTAAGCTATGGACTATTCACTAAATATCTATGTTATTTTTGGTTCTAATATATTATTTCAGCATTTTAAGATGTGATTATATTCTTAATGCTCGTAGTTCTAACATCTTCTACAAAATATAAAGCCTAAGAATTCATATGATGTTGGATAGTTCATTTTCCGAGGATTGCAATCCGTATATTGGAAAATATATTACAATGAGGTAATACTTTTTAAATTTATCTGTTACATTATTTTTTACCCGACTTCAAAAAACCGTTGGAGATAATTACCAATTCATTCCCTAATTATTATTATTTTGAATAGCACATGGGCAAGGCAGGAGGCTCGCTCTGATGTTAAGTGGCTCACGGCCTTTTAGGAATAGGTACGCTCTTTTCTTTAAAGACCCTAAGACGCATTGGTTCGGAAATACTTCAGCGAGGAGCTGGTTCCACGTAGTGAAAAAATGGCCTTAAATAACGCTCAGTTGTGGAACGATGGACGTCGAGGTGATACGAGTAGAATTTAATACAGGTATAAAACCGAACAACTCCTGTTGTTGCCCAATGCTGTTGAAAAGTTGAACATCCTGGTCTTCAAGATGCTTATGGAAATTAATAACAGAGGATGAAAAATTCCACGTAACATAGGTTATTACTGAATTCAGGCCACAAATTTACGGTGAAACATGGTAGTAGAGTCAGGCTTCAGGTACAGAGTACACACACATGTTTGCACGTTTATCTAATTTTAGACAGAGCTAATATTACCCAGTACCTGACCGTCATTTTACATTAGGCTCATTAAATTTTATGCATTGTTTTATTTCTGGAGTGTGGACATAATGTTAATGTGTAATGCATACTCAAAAATTTACTCTATTTTTAATATACAGTGTGAATTTCTATGAAAGACGTGGATACTAAAATCAACGCTTTGTAGCGTTAACGACGGGTGGTTTTTGACCAAAATTATAAAGTTGATATCAAATAATTACTCAAAATCTAATTTCAAAATTTTCTACGCATACAACCATAAAGAGTCGGTAATCATACTTAGATATGTACAATGTACATATTACGAAAAGTTCAAACAGTTTTTAGACTCGATTTTCTATAAAAAGAATACGGGGATCAAAAGTCGTAAGAAGAGTCGTTTTTTTGTATATTAAACTATTTTTCTATGCATTGTCACAAATACCATCTCCAAATGAATACGAATGACGAATACAATAATACATATTTTAATTTAAATTCATGTTAATTTTAAATTTACCTCGACCGACAAGACCAACACAGACAA